TCATTAACTTTCCTCAGGACATTCAAGGATTCACAAATCGGCTTCCACGGAATACATCATCTCTAGATGTACTTGTGATACGTCAGGAATCAGCAAATGATTCAATAGTTTTCAGAGACTTTATTGTACGTCAGGGTAAAGTTAGTAATGCTTTGGTGTGGCTAAAAGCAAACAACTGTTACTACAAAGACATAATTATCAATCAAGAAATACTCCAATCTTTATCCGAAAATGATTCTATCGCCAAAATGCTTCTGCAGCTACAGAACGAACGATTAATAAACGAGATTTCAGCAGACGAAGAAAATGGAGATGATGGAATAGTACGTTCGTTTGTGCCTTCAAATATTCCAAGACCAAGAGAAGACGTCGCTATTAATGACACACTTAATCGCATGCAAAGTAATAATACAACTTTACTATGACCAGAGATCAATAGCTTTCCTATCAACGAGTTTCAGACGCCCGATTATATAGCGAGAGCATTCCCAACACTTTATCCATATGGACAGGGTGATCTTCATTCTGAACGGCCTCAGGACATAAAACCAGCGGAATATTTTAAGCACTTGATGTGGTATAAAGATGGTTGATTCGTGAGACATCTATGTTGGAGGTATTTCACGTTAAACTCTACGATGAGATGGAAGGCGCTACAAGAAGGTTCTATTTTCGTAAGACAGAATTTAAGTGATAGACCTATCGATGTCACGGATATACAGGAAATGATTGCTGAAGGCGACAAAAACCTGGCTGATAAAATCATGAGATACGGCGAAGGGTTATGTGATACACGGCAGTTCTGAATGGCTCGAAGTTCTGAATTATCAGACTTTGTTAAGCAAATAGGCCATCAAGGTCTAATTTTTTTTATATTCAGCGCTGCAGATTTTTATTGACCAGAACTTTACAAGTTAATGTCAGACGAAGAAAATTCGGGAGAAGAGTCCGATTTGGCAAAACAGCGTTAACAGAATCTTATCAATAATCTACATATAGCCGCTTGGTTTTTTAATAAATGGTTTAATAGTTTCTTCCAAGATGTGCTGATTCAACAATGGGACCTTGAAGATTATTGATACCATTTTGAATGGCAACATAGGGGAAGTGTACACATACACGGGATAGGCAAGATTAAAAAGGCTCCCGTTATTAATTGGAACGAAATAAAGTTGAACAAAAATGAAATGAATAACGTAATTCAATATATTGATTCAATGGTCACCACAATTAACCCGAATATGAACGCAGACATACCTGAACGACATCCCTGTCAAAAAGCCAGAGAAGAAATCAATGATGGTTCTTAGGATTACATTGAACTAATTAACAAGCTACAATGTCATACACGTTGCAGTCCATCATATTGCATTCGGGTCAATCGATCATCAAGACCAACTATGCCAGTTCAGATATTCAAAGGACCATTTAGATCATACATTAATACGAGAAGATGATAAAGGACAGCTGGAACTCTTAACTACGCATAATGATCTACTTATTAATCCTCATAATAGATTACAATTGCAGGGTTGGCAGGCGAATGTCGATCTAAAACCAATTCTCAGCATACACGCAGCTTTGCAATATATAGCAAAGTATACAAGCAAAGGAGAACCTAGATCAATGGCTTTTTCAGAGATTTTCAATCAGATTCTTAATGATAATCCCGACGACACTTCACTTATATCAATACAGAAACTGCTACTGAGTAGTGTTGCAGAACGGGACATATCGGCTCAAGAAACATGCCACCTTCTGCTAGGTATTCTGTTATATCATTCTAGCTGTACATTTATTTCTTTAAATGTCAACAATAAATCGGCGAGGTGGGTTCAGGGCTCAGGAAGTGGAGACAACAGAAAGGAAGGGAGGACTACACAATCGGTTTTACAACGATACTGGAATAGAACTGAAAATTTTGAAGAATTTTCGTTATTCAAATTGCATTTAACACATAAATTGGTTAAAGGGAATTGGGTAATATGCAAAACTAAAAATATTGTTCGCATATGGCCACGACCATCAGCTCTTCGTAACGGAGACGAATGGAAAGAGTACTGTCAGGTAAAGGTTATCCTTCATGTAAAGCACAGAAGCCTTCAACAATTAAGAGAATCTGACAGTGTGTCTTGGTCATCAATTTATTATCAATATCTTGATATAATTAATAATGATCCGGTTGACTTGCTTGGACTGCCTATTAATAATGAAGAAGAGATTCCGGACGAAGAAAGCCAAGACGAAGTGCTTGAAAATGATGAGGAAGAGGAATTTAGGTATGATTGGATGCGTCTTGCCGAAATGGGACCAAACGTAAATATAGTATCTTCATCTGATCTAGGTTCTTGAGATATGGATAGGAATCACGATTGGGTTAATGACACCCAACAACGGTATTCTTCCGATGACATCAAAAAGTGCGCGACTTCGTCAATGAAGCTTCAACTGATGCTATAGACGATCTAGAAAAAGATGATTCTGTCGATTATGAGAATCTAAACGAAAAGCAAAAAACTATCTTCAATAGAATAGAATCACATTATAGTAGCATACTCACAGGTAATTCAGTTGAACTATTAAGGATAATAATTATGGGTACGGCAGGCACAGGAAAATCATATCTCATCAGGGCAATATGAAAGAGGCTAAGTATAATGAAAAGCAGTGGATCTAAAGTACCAGTGAAGGTAATCGCACCTACAGGAGTCGCTTCTTTTAATATTAATGGTTCGACAATACATTCAACACTGTCAATACCAATTATCAATAAAAAAAGCTCAGATTTAGACGATAAAAGGCTTAAGCAATTACAAGAAAGATTAAAGATGTAATTTACCTTATTATTGATGAAAAAAGCATAGTAGGAAGGAGAATGCTTGGTTTAATCGACAAAAGATTAAGAGAAGCTTTTCCTGAAAATAATAACGAACCTTTCGGTGGACGGTCCATCATCTTGTTTGAAGATTTTGGACAGCTTTCACCAGTGATGAACCCTCCTATGTATGCCAAAGACGTTTTGCACGATACAACTTCTAACGATGATACAGCATCATACAAAAATTTCCAGGAGGTATATAAGCTTGATATGATTCAACGTCAATCAGGTGATTTAGAAGAACAAAAATCCTTTAGAGAGATTCTTTTAAGATTACGAAACGGAGATTGCAGCTTAGATGATTGGAAATAACTCAGTGTATGCTTTGAAGAAAAATTAAACAAGATAGAATGCAATAGATTTTTGGATGCTGTATTCATCCTTACTACTTGGGATGACGTAGATAAAGTTAATATAGATATGCTAAGATCATTAAACTGTCCAGTAGCCAAGATTCTTGCAGTTCATGATGGAGGTCGTGAAGCCCAAAAAGCTGACTCAGACGTCGCAAAAGGACTCAAAGCACAGTTGTTATTGGCCAAAGGTGTACGTGTTATGCTGACGGCTAACATATGGACCGAAGGAGGGTTAGTAAATGGGTCAATGAGAACTATACGTGATATTATATTTGTGGAAACTGGACCTACTTCATTACCAGCAGCAGTTTTCATAAAATTCGATCTTTACAAAGGTCCTAGTATTACAACACCAGAAGGGGACAATGTTGTCCTGATCATTTCTATTAAACGCACCTGGAAAAGTAAATCCGGGAAGTTGTGTTCTCGATTTCAGGTTCCATTATGTCTCACATGAGCAATAACGGTACACAAGAGCCAAAGGCTTACGTTACCGAAGGCTAAAATAGATCTTGGAAGTCGAGAGTTTGCTGCCGGTCTTTCATTTGTTGCAGTGTCAAGAGTTCGTTCGCTCAACGATATTTATTTTAAGCAGTTTACTTACAAAAGACTTCAACAGATTCAGAGTTACATAAGATTATAAGAAAGGAAGGTCGAAGAAAAATGACTAATTTCTATGATATCGAGAGTGAACAACTGAATTTTTTTTTTAATTTTTAATTTTTTTTTTAGCAGTTTCACAATTTTATTTTAGTTTAGCAGTATAATTTATTTTGAGTTTAGCAGTATAATTTATTTGAGTTTAAGCGGTACAAAGTGCTATTTTTACTAATTTAGAATTTGTGCTGATCAACTCAATTATTGAGCGGGGGGAATGCAAACATTTGAGTCAAACAGCGTATAGAATTATATAGTCTTTCGCTACGCTCCGGACTAATTATATGGTATGATTTTTTAACCAAATGAAGTTCATGTGTAACATATTGAAATGAAATTAAAATCTCAAATTTCATTGGATGGGTCTCGGACCTTGATTTTGCTGGCAACGAACCCATTTATTAAAATAATTAAAAGATAAAAAAATATTTTTTAGAAACTTTCATAAGAAAAATGTATTTCTAATAAAAATTTTTTTGACCATCCTATCAAAAAATTTATTTAAAAAAAAATTTTTTTGACTTTTTCATCAAAAAATTTATTAGAAAAAAATTTTCTAAATAAAAAATAAAAAATAAGCTGCAGAATATTAGTAATATAATTATAAAAAAAAATTTAAAATTAAAATTAAAAAAATAATAGTTTTTTTTTTTAATTTTATTAATATTAGCATTAGTTTTAGTAGATAATATTGGTTTTTTTTAGTATAAGCTTTTATTATTTTTTAACATTAAATTTTTTTAAAATTTTTTTCGCGTAGCGATATATGGCCACGATATATGGCCATTCACGTGACTAATAAATTTTGCTGAGTATTTATATATTCAAATAAATGCGAAATTATGATTTAAGCTATACGAAGACCAAATTTTGTTTTCAAAAAAGGTTAAATTTTCTAAAATTAATTATTCATTTTAGGAATGATCGGTAAGATGCTCGTCCGATCTTGGGGTAGCTTGCAGAAGGCTAAAACATGTGACATTTCTCGATGCGCGCCATAATCAATTTACGCCATAAAAAAATTTTTTTCGCAAATCTACTGTATATATTTAATCTATAAATTGAATTTCATTGTACCAAATTTTTTCGTCAAATTCTTTTCATTAGGTATGCCTGTACCAATTGGAAACCAAGTATCACCGTCGGTCTTACTTCCTTTCCCTCCACTTACAGAACAACACATTCTTAATTGTGTATTTTCGTCCTGGTATAACAATTTTCGACGTGTCACTTTAAAATCCAAAATAATTAAGCCTCTACCAGAAGAATTCATCGAATACTTACATGCTGATGGAGTATTTCTTCCTGAACAAAAGTAAATATAATAATATTTATTATTTTTAAATTTTCAGAAAGATTGATCTTTACTTTATTATTTGTCTAGTTATATTGGAGGAAATCATTTACGAGAAGTTAGTGATGATGATGATGATGAATTTGATATCAATGAAACTGAATTTGACGATGATGAAGAAAATGTATATTATTTTATTCGATTTTCACTGGATTCCACATCAATTTTTTTTTTTGATCTAATATATTCTTGTAAATTAATTAAGCAACCACTTCCAAGTTTTCCAGAATTGGAACAACAGATTTGGGATACGATTGACGAATTTGATGGAGCAGTTTTTCCAAAACTCAATTGGAGCTCTCCGAGGGTAATTAACATAATATACTATTTAATGGATTTAAATGAAATATTTCATTTTTTTTCTTCTTTTAAGGATGCCACATGGATTTCAGCTACCAACTCACTTAAATGTAATTCTCCATCTGACATATTTCTTCTCCTCAAATCATCCGATTTCGTTGCCCATGATCTTGATCATGCATTTGATGATTGTCATTACAACCATCAAGATGCTCCGAGAAGACATCGACCAAATGTATTTGAATTGGTGTTGAAAAAGTGGTACGACGTAGCACCTTCTATGGAATTTAGATGTTTTGTAAAAGAAGAAGAGTTAGTTGGTAAGCGCGTATTCGATTTATAATAATATTAAAGGTGTGTCAATTTTCGCGCAATTAATATGATTTTAGTAAATACACATAATCACACTCACTTTCAATTACTGATATGTTATAATCATCATTGTCCTTTTGAAAAAAAAATTTCTCAAGCCATATCACAACGGGATATCAACTATTATTCATTTTTAAATGATATACAAGAAGAATTGAAAACAAAGATTATTCAATTTTTCGAAATTCATATACAAAATAAGTTTTTTAATCAAAATTGTATGTAAATTACAAATCCATTATATACTTGTTTTATAATAACTAACTTAATTACGGTTTCAGATGTTTTTGATGTATATGTGACACGGAATAGAGAAAGAGTTTGGTTGATTGATTTCAATCCTTATGGACCTATGACAGATAGTCTTATGTATACGTGGGAAGAAATTTTGACAGGTTTGTTCAGTGAGAGAATTTTTATATATAATTCAATTAATTCTTGTAACTGAGATTATTCGCGCGAATTCAGCAACTGGACCACCATCATTTCGACTGATCACCTCTCAAACTGAGTCTAGTCAATCACGTAGTCAACCATTCGCTGTTAATCGTTATCCACGAGAGATTTTTGATTTATCACAAGGTCAATCTATTGCCGAATTTGCTGAACAATTCCAACGTGAATTAGCGATCGCTACTGTTGGCAGCGATGGAGAAGAAAATGAAAATGAAAACAATATTATTAATAATGTCAACCAACATCCCCAGTCATAATAGAAAATTGTATATAATATGGTAGAAAGAATTCCATATAAGATAGAAACATGTTTTTTTATTATTATTATTATTATTATTTTTTTTTTATAATATTATTTAATTGTATATTTAAATTCTAGCTATTTTATAATAAATTGGTTCGTTACATTAATAAAGGGAATGTTATTAAGTAAAGGAAATCCTCGTACACGTGATTTTATATAAATCCTCCATAATTTGGAGACGCCACTTTCACTTGCCATCTTAAGCAACATTTATTTTTTTTTGGTGAGATCTGCTCCATTGCGACTTTTTCTATAATGATCTCTTCCTACCAAAATAAAATCCGGTTTTTTTATCTTTCCCCAAAATTTTTCTCGTGTAACTTACTCCTATATAAAATATTTTTTTATTTTATTTTTTATTTTTAATAAATTCAAGACTCATTTAATCCGATTTTCCTTGACTTCATATTTTTTTCGAATCAAAATCCTGTAATAAACAAGTTCAACATTTCTGAAAGTTTACTTTGTTTATTCCTCCTTATGGAACAATAAAATGTTTTCTTACTTTTGAACTTTAAGCAGGACAAAAAAATATTATGCCAATTTCTTCTTTAAGCTATCATTCATCACTTTTTTTTTAATTAATCAAATTAAAAAAAATCAAAAAAAGCAAAAAAATCTTCTGATTAAAAAAGAAATATATATCATTTTTTTATCAAAAAAAAACTCTTCTAAAATTGCCTTCTAAACTCATGATAAAATAAAAAACATTACCAAAATTTGCGGGATAAAGATTTACTCAGAAGAAATCCACCATTGCACTTGAAACTTTTTGTTATATGCTTGATTGCTCTCAAAGAATAACATGAGATTAAACCTTAAAAGAGATTACTGCAATCTCAAGAATAGATGAAAATAATCCGACTAAATTTCTTATTTATAATAAAAGCATTTGTTCCTTAGATGAATCAGTCAGTTTAAACATAAACTATTTCAAATTGATGTAATCTATTTAAAAGAAAAGTTTATTGGATGCTCTAATTGGTATCAAGTATGTTTTGCTTTTATTTCTTCTTTAAGATTTCTAAATCTTGGAAATAAAGAGCCTTCCAATTATACCCTAGAAGTTAGACATATCTCAACAAATAGTTATCTCCTTAATAAAACCTCATCTATTTAACCCAATAATACATTATATATAATTTATTAAAGACCTTTCTATCAGAGAAGAATTAACTTAGAAAACATGTATTAGAATTAGATGATATATCTTTAATCTCTAAAATTCAGATACATATCAACACTAAAATAATTAACTTATTATGGACTAACAACAGTCTTAACCAATCCAGTAACAAAATAAACCATAGCCTAAGAATAAAAACTCAGAAGATCCTAACAAACTTTATCTATATATCCAAATTTATATTACTTGCATTCTATGGGTACTATTTTAGACGACAGGCATATACAGTAAATCAGTCTGAATTTAAGCTTATTTTTGTGTAATGTATCACAAATTTGATTTACAAATATTTGAGCTGATTTTAATCTTCCTGTATTATCACAAAATTTTCACCTCACATAATAATAGTAAAATATTTATCATCCTGAATCATTTACATTATACTTCTCAACTTTTTCATTTTTACTATATATTTTTGAATTTTTTTTAATAAATGAAATATTATTTAACACTCGATTATTTATTACACAGTTAATTTCTTAATGCTGTAATACCAAATAATAAGTTATATAAGGTGGAACTTTTGTGATGATACTGAAGTAAATTTGATTTTATTTCTTGTTTATAAAATATTTTCATTGATATTGTTGAAGTTGTAAGATCTTTTGAATATAACGTAAAAAATAAGGTTAATCTTCTATACTTTCGTAACTCTGAACTTAAGTAAAGTTTATAGTCACACATATCTTTACTGTCGTTAGGCAATACCTTCTTGCGTTCAGATGTTTAGAGGCAGTCTGCCAGATAATTCTTAAATATATGTATTTAAGGCACGCTCCAATATGTTATTTTCAGGATATGTTTATTATACTTACTATCATTAAGCAACATCTTCTTACATTCAGATATTTGAAAGTAATCTGCTAGATAATCTTTAGGTATACGTGTTTAAGACATGCTTTAGTATGCTATTTTTTAGTATACAGTTGACTGTAAACATTATCACGTTGTCTTTATTAAAATGGATAAAATAACTATTTAATGTATTAATTTTTTTTTTAGATATTTGAATCTGTTGTGACAAAATATCTTAATAAACAAAATTAAAGACTGGTCAATTCTCAGAATTTTAGAATTTACATGATCGAATTTGAATCCTAAATTATCTGTAATCACAATCGATGATTTTAAGAACGATCTATATATAAAATTACAAAGTTATATAAAAAATGTAACATTCACATATATCAGAAATAGAACAAGGAAGATTTTATCTAAGTTTAACTCATTATTCTTCACTGCTGAAGTGAAGGAATTCATCAAAGATCTTGAATATCATAAAGAAGCGTGACTTAATATTATATCCATATATACAGCTATAGTTTTAAAGGTAAGATTTATAAAATTTAAAACTAATATTTACGATAGATATCAACTTATCAAAAATCTTTTAGGATCAGCAAGAAAATCAAAAGTTTATTGATTAATTATGAAAAAGTAATAAACAAGAGCATGAGAAAGTTACTAGATTATTAGACGTAAAAGATAATCAGAAAGATCATTTACACAAATGTCAACACAGATCATCTAGATAATCAGAAATCATAAGTAATAAAACTGACAATCAGAAGGATAGGGTATTATCTTTACATTAAAGTAAATTATTTAGTTATCATGATGTACAATTAAGACTGAATAATTGCATTCTTTTTTTTGAAATTACAGGATCACATATACAAAGATTTGAAAATAAGTGAAGCCAATAGTGAAGATAATGAAGAACCCCTCAATTTCAGTCTATTAGATAGAAATTATATGAAAAACATTAGAATTTTTTAGTGCTTATTCAGACATTTAATTATTAACTTTGGTTATTCTTGTTTATTTATAGAATGTAATAAAGTAGAATCTTCTAGTAGAAAATGAACTCGACAAGAGTATGATTTTGCATCTAAATCAGAATTAGTTTATACTTAAATTCATATTGTTTGCTATATAATGTAATATGTTATCGATATATTTTGACTTATTTTTACAAGCTTCGAGATCATAATGAAAATAATTTAAATGAACTTCTTAAGTAATCTGACTTATTTAATAGCTAAGAAGAAAGTGTTGAATACAATATAAAAGTAATAAAAAATCTGTTAAATGAATTAGAAATATGTTCACAGAAGATGAATAAAATTTTATCCAGTTTTCAAACGTATTAACATGAAACCAGAAACATCCTTTTAGAAAATGGATAATAGACTTGAGTCTGACATCAAAATTTATTCTTTTATATACAAAAGAAGTGAATTATGAAAAATTGATAAAAGAAATTTTTGAATCAATTAACAAGATGTTTTCAAAAAAGTGCATAAATTCTTAACAAATTTTTTTCAAAGATAATTGTTATCTAAATTGTTATTTTATAAAAATATTAAATTTTTTTCTTACTATTACCTTATTTACAAAATTTGAATGAAAGTCAGTGAGAAGAAAAACTTGAAAATTTGATGAAAAATAAAGGAAGCTCAGAAGATTTTTGTCAGCAGTCTGGAGAGAATATAAAACAGGATAAATTAATTATAAAATTAAAAATATTCATATTAGAAATATTATCAACATTGTAAATATTTGGGAAGTGCTTCTTTTCTTTTTAGAAATATTAACATTCGTTATTTTTAGTTTTGAAGCCTATAAACTAATGTCAGAAAATTCACTTAAAAATTGTGAAATAATAAAAGATAAATATATGAATATCTTCATTTATCCTATCTTAAAGAAGTACTCCTTCGATTTTCTGAAATTTGATATATTTTATAAGAATAGAATTCACCTTTCTTCCACTACATTATTGATATTATTTAACTTTTAACATGTTCTATAGAGATAACAAGGCCATTAAAGCTTCTATATATCAAAAAACTATAATGAATCAAAATAGTAAAACAGATTGTGCAGATGGTATTGCGTATACACAATAAAATTTGATGTAACAAAACCTCAATAAATTGGAACTAGCTTTATAACAAAACTTTTTATTAGAACTAAATCACATATATTAAAATAAATTTGATATAATGGAATCTATTAGTAAAATCTCAATAATCACTATAATGGAACAAAATTCATATTGGTTATAGTAAAAATGTTTAATATACTAAAACATATGATGATCTACAATAATGAGCCAATAAAATTAATTTATGTGACTCCAATAATCTTTTTTTTAATATTGATAGATTTTTAAATTTTTCGTGCTTATTTTTCAATTCTTTTGCTTTTATTTTTCAATCTCTTTTACTAGCCTCTATTTATACTTTTATTTTCAATTTCTTTTATTTAAAATAAAAATGGAAAAAGTTAACAGAAAGGATTTAGATAATGATAATAACTCTCAAAAAAAAAGAAAATTTTTAATATTTGCTTAAAAAAAAAGAACTTTGTGAAAAGCATTGAGATCTAAAATATAATGGTATATAATTAGCAAAGGAATATAGAATTTCTGACAGTGCAGTATCTAATATTTTAAAAAAATCTGAGCATTGGCTTTCTATTGATACTATTTTACCAAATGCAAATAATTTTCGTGAAAAACTAAGTAATTTTTTACAAATAGAAGAGGCCATTAATATCTGGGTTGATCAGCAAATTTCAAGAAGTTTAATTCTTAATGGACCTATTATTCAAGAAAAAGCAAAATAATTTGCTATATTATTTGATATTAATAGTTTTTTAGTATCAGAAGAATTTTAAATATAGAAACAACCTGTATACATTTAAAATAAGTGGAGAAGTTGGTAGTGCTCTAATTAATAAAATTTCACAATGAAAATTGAATTGCAAGAAGTTCTTCAAGAATATGAATTAAGAGATATTTGGAATTGTGATAAAACTACTTTTTTTTGATGCTTGGAACTATGTAAAATAATAGCACATTCTTCAGTACTTGGTAAAAAACGTCTAAAAGAACGTATTAGCATATTAGCAACATACAATACATCTGGTAATGAAAATTACCTTTGCTTTTTATTCATAAATATCAAACACTATGTGTATTAAAAGGGATTGAAAAAAAATTTCTTTCTGTTTGATACTATTGGAATTCAAAGGCCTGGATGAAAAGAAGTATTTTTAAGCTATTTTCTTGAAAGATTAAATTTAAAAATGATTAGGAAAAGGTGTCATATTATTTTATTAATGGATAATACTAAATGTCATGATTGTGAAAATATTAATAATTTATCAAATGTTAAAGTTCATTTTTTATCACCAAATATAACCTCACATCTTCAACTACTAGATTAAGGCATAATTTACAGTTTAAAAGCATAATATCACAAATTATTATGTCAAAATCATATTCAGGCTTATGAGTTTTATAAAAAAGATGATCCAATTCTACCACTAATTGATATTCTTAACTCTATTAATTTAATTGCTAAAGCTTGAAAAAAAGTAACTAAAAAAACAATCATTGATAGTTAAGCTAAAGCTGAAATTCTTTTTGATGATAATAATTTTAATATTTTTGATGATAATGATGATATTGAAGAAGATAATATTGAAAAATTACAATCATTAATTAATAAATTACTAATTATAGATCCATTAAGTATGAAAGAATTTATTAATTAAAGATGGTCTTCATAATTATTTTTAAATTTCAATTGAGTTGCAACTTAATTGCGCTATAAAGAAATTTAATTGCGTCATAAGTTGCAACTCAATTGTGCCATTTTTTTAATTGCGGTGACCATCTTTAATATTAATATTGATGATGAATTAATTGTTAAAGAAGAATTATTATTAGAAGAAATTATTAATATTGTTAGAGATCAAGCTGCAGCGGAAAAGGTTGAGGTGAAAAAAGATGAAATCATAATCTCATCAAATGCATTAAATAGTATTGAAAAATTAATTAAATATATTCAACAAAATGATTTGAATATTAATAATTTAGATATGTAAAGTATACTTAATTTGAAGAAAAAAATTATTTTTGATAATAGGAAAAGGTATCATCGAAGATATAAGAAAAGAGCTAAAAGAGTAAATAGAAGGGTTAGACGACAGATTATAACCTGAAGTAACAAAATTAGCAGCCTTAGAATCAAGAGTAATGTTAAGAGATTTTTCAAAATCATGAACTAGTTGACAATGATCACGCAAAGTAGATTAGATGACTTTTTTATTAAGTGTAAAATTGTTTTCAAAATAAAATAAAAAAAATAAAGAAAAATTTTTTTCACGTAAAAATAAAATTTTGATATAATAGATCTTCATGTGATTTTATATAAATTCTGGTATATCAAAAATTTTTATCATATCAGAACACTTAATATACTGAATATTTTTGCAAGAACAGATAGTTCTATTACATTAAATTTTACTGTATATATTGAATTAGTAAAATTTATATAAGATCTCTGTTATTGAAGGCAGTAGACTATATGTTACTAAAAAGAATAAAGAAACAAGTGATTTTATTCAAAATGCTAGAGCAGTGAAAGATATGATTAATTTTATAGTAACATAAGAGGTAGTGCATGAATGTATGAAAATATAATGGTAATGTTCATTTATCTACAGAATTCTGAAAATTATTATATTAATGTTATAACTTTGAAAACCTTATTATAATTTCAGAATATAAGAAATATAAGGATAAATCATCAAGTATATAAAATATATATGATTTACCAATATTAAAATTTCTATACTATATTTATATAAAAGATGTTATCATAAATTTCTCAGATTTAAATAATAATTATAAATTTTTATACTAAATTTTCCAGATCAATCCTTTATCAAATCCTAAATATTATCTTAATAAAAAATATATATATTTTGACACAATGCATATAAACATGTATAATAAAAATAAGCATGTTTTTGATTCTTGTTAAGATATATATGATATAATAACTGATATATTATAAATAATCTATATAACTACTTGTATAGCAAAATATTTTCAAATTTTTTTTCTAGTAATGTTTAACAGAATATAGACTATTTTTATTATATAACTGCTCTATCTATTCTATATAAAAATAAATAACGTCAACACAATAATTGTCTATAAGCTCTATCGTATTATCAGTCTTAATAGCAAATTGAAAGTGTCAAATAAATTCAAACCATTGAGTAACAGAAATGATATTCTTTCATGAACTTTCAGCATCACCTCTACTATAATTTGCCTATTCTGATAGAATTTGCCTTAGGTTCAATAATTGGTATTTGTATAGTGCAAACGGCTTAGTCGCATCCAATATTTATTAGTAACTTTAAGATTTAAAGGAATTTTATTTAATTATAAAATATTAAAAAAAAATACGTTGTTTGATAGCTCTTGATATGGTCTTTAACGCAACGTATTTTTTTTTTAAATTTTATTATAAAAATTTTTCGTAGTTAA